CCGATTTCGATGAAACAAACCTCAAGTTGCGTAGAATTTTTGTATAAAAGCAATGTCTGCATCAATGCATACGAATACAAATTCGTAGATTTTACGTGATGCGCGCACAAATAAACAGACAAAAAATTCAAAAATGATGGAAATGGGTTCTGTTAGTTATCTTTTAACACGCTGGCTATTTTTTTTTTGTCAATTTCTACAATGTACAAAAGTAACTTTTCTACAGATTTATTATATGTATAGATTGTGTTGTAACATCGTGACACCGCAATATATTGTCGATAACTGTAATGTTCTTTTTTTGTTAACTCATTTAGCATTAATATTATGAAATAATTCTCAATTAGAAGAAATTCAGTTTCTGCTCAAAAAGCGAGAGTTCCTTGTATTTAATTTTCCACCACTTTTTAACCGACTTCATTTCATAAATGAACAAAGTCATCGCGACTTTATTCGTACTTCGGCCACAGTCACACCGTTCCAGAATCCGTAGTGACTCTTCCGAAAATAATACGGTTTTTTTGGGACAAGCCCGCCACACCCTCTTGAACCCACTGAAACTCCTGTAAGCCAGGATAATAGGTTTGCCTTACCAGGAAATTGAACCAAGAATATAATAATAGCATATAAAGGTGACTAGGTTTTTGTTCCAGAAACTTGAAACTTGAGTCTCAGGTTAGTTACATTTTACCAATTATTAAATTATCTAATCGATACTTCCCTTCCAAATAGCGTAATAATGATAAGAAAATTAAGTTCGCATATAAATACAATACATTTTTAGATACGACATTTTTAAGTCCGACCACAAAACACGATGGCAGACATGCAAGAATCATTGAAAAAATTTCTGAAAAAAATTGTAAAGGAACAAAAATATTTGGACCCTGAGATCACAATAGAGGAAATTTCAAGCGGAGGAGCAAACTACACATCTAAACTGTTTACTGCGGTCGTGAGAGAAGCAGGCAAGGAAGACCTGCATCTGTTCGCTAAAGTCGCCGTCTTTGGAGAAAGCATGCGTGAGATAATGCCAAATATATACACTACTGAACAATATATGTATACAACACTAGCAAAGTTCTACGAAAGAATGGAGAAGGAAAGTGGAGTGAAGGAAGAAGACAGACTACTATTCTGCAAGTTCTACGGGTTCGATCCCAGCCCGAACAGAGAGATACTAGTGCTGGAGAACTTGCTGCCGCAGGGCTATGGACCTCACGACAGGTTCCACTCCATAGACTGGCCGTATGCTGCAGCCGCCATCAGAGATCTTGCTAAAATGCATGCACTGTCCTTCGCGTTAGCAAAAAGGCACCCTGAGGAGTTCGAAAGAGCCTTGAAGAATACTAAAATAGATTGGGATAACGACATAATAAAATCTACGATGGATCGGTCAGCAGCTAGTGCAATGAAAGTCGTTAACCCTAAACATAAGGATTTATTTACCAGGTTCTTGGATAAGAAGCAAGAGTTCTCGTTTTCGAAAATGTTTACCCCCATCAATGCCAGATCTGTCATCATACACAGTGACTACCGGGGAAACAACTTGTTGCACAAACGTCGAGAGGTGAGTGTTTTATATTCTATTTCTTGTTAGAAAAAAATATTTTCTTCTTTCTTAAGCATAAATAGCAAATATTAATATATTTTAAACTTATCGCTTGTTTGTTCTGTAATATTTTGAGTAACAGCCTCCGTAATTGGTAATGTTTGCTTATCCATTTGTTTTTAAATTTTGTCCGGATAATATTGCATCTGGTTGTCCAAATCTTATTTTTGTGATAATTCAAAGTTAGCGCGCTATATATATATATATGTATATGGTCGAATTTAACTTTTTAATGTTTGTAATGCTGCCTATATATATATAGACATTTGACAATGTTGTCTAAGGTTTAAATCAACTATATTTAGAGGTTATATTTTGGGTATTTTCACTGAAATAATCTAACCACAGATAGTTCGTGTGTGACTTGTTTATATAGTGCACTTTCCACGGCTAAATATTTACTTTTCAATGCCGTAGACACTGTTTGAACTTGTCGAAACACTTTTGAGGTTTTGTAATGAGTGACAATCAGAACGTCTATTGTTTACTATGCCGGAACCGAAAAAATGCATTTTCATACAAAACGGAAATTTCATAAATAAAGACCTATTACGTTACGATTCCATTCGGTGCAATAGCATTTGTTATTCCAAGACTCCACGCGCCCGATGACGATAATGATCAGCGATAAATACCTACATGGCCTCGTGCTAGACCGGAGCGGGCAGGCAAACTGATATATATTTTATAATCTTATGAAAATACACGATCTGCCACAATCTTGCTATAATGATGATAAGGAATAAACGTCTGCCTATAAATGAGCCACTCTATTACTAATGAGCAGTGCTCGTTCTGACGTTCAACTACACTGCATGATGGCAGACTCACAACAGTTACGAGATTGTCTAAACAAAGTCGCCAAAGAACAAAAATATGTGAACCCTGAGATCACAATAGAGGAAATATCAAGCGGAGGAGCAAACTACACATCTAAACTGTTCACTGCAGTCGTGAGTGAAGCAGGCAAGGAGGACCTGCATCTTTTCGCTAAAGTCGCGGTGTTTAGTGAAAGTATGCGTGTCAACCTACCTAATTTATTTCTCGTTGAGCAATACATGTACACGGAACTGGTGAAATGGTACGAAACTATAGAGAGGGAAAGTGGAGTGCCAGAAGAGGACAGACTGATCTTCTGTAAGTTCTATGGGCTCGACGCGACTCTGTACAAGGAGATAATGGTGCTGGAGAACTTGCTGCCGCAGGGCTACGGACCTCACGACAGGTTCCACTCCATAGACTGGCCGTATGCTGCAGCTGCAGTCAGAGATCTTGCTAAAATGCATGCACTGTCCTTTGCGTTTGCTAAAAAACATCCAGAAGAGTTTGAGAAAGCTTTGAAAAATATAACCTTGGACTGGCCCGCGGAAATTATGGATACGATAATCCGACAACCTTTCTCTACTGCAGTGAAAGTGGTCAACCCCGAACACAAGGAAGCATTTGTCAAGTTTATGGATGAAGCTTTGAAGACACCTTATTTTGATATATTAAAACCCGTCAACTCCAAAGTGGCCATCATCCACAGGGACTACAGGGGGAACAACTTACTGCACAGACGTCGAGATGTAAGTGTTTGTTCCAATGACTGTATATTTGTGGATTTACTTTCTTAGGTATGTTTGTCTGAGGGAACGAACCTCCTCACGCGCCTCGCGGGAGGCACTCCGGATGTTGGAGATCGCGCGAAGATCTCCAGCCACCGTAAGTGCGGGTCTGCGGACGGCGAGCAAGGATAGTTCGCTGCCCGACCAGAACTAGACCCGTGCGTAAAGCGCGTCGCGTTCCGCGTACGCCTCAAAAAGCCATCAGATGACCACAAATGGGGTCCAGCAAGGCTGATACCCGATGCGGAGCATCGTAAGGCCTAACGAATTGCCGAGGCTTAGGCTCGAAGAACAGGGGTAGGAACGGGGTGGTTTTTAGTCAGTAAGAGTCTGACATTCCCTCTCGCCTCACCCAGGCGGGAGAAATCATTGAATGATTTTCACCCCTCAGAAAACAAATTATGTTTGTTGTTTAATTAAACTTGATTTGTGTCTTTATGGATTTTCTGTTCAATTGGGTAGATGCCTAATTTTTAATTTATTTTCCATCTGGTAGATTATTTTAAATCATATAGTATTTTTTATTTTCTTACAGAAACGAATACTTTCGACGATAAATTGATTTGAAATGTCATGTGACGTCACTTGTCACTTCAATGTACATTTTATACGTAGAAAGGACGTTTTAGCCCCCACTCCTAAATTTTGATTCGTTTTATCTAAGTATTGTTTTATTATACGACAAAATAAAAAAATATGTCTAACTAAGTAATATTTTTTCATTACCTAACTTACGGACTAATTTTTCATACCCTGGCATCATCCCAATTCAACAAGTTTATTAATTATGTTTGTTAGAAAACAATTAAGCGGTTAAAATGCTAAATAATACTAATGGAATGTAATCAACTAGAAAGGAAAGAGAATAATGTCCATGAAATCTGATGCAATAAATAACAGACCATCTCAATTCGGAACAGGGCGTGCGTTTGATGACAATGAAACGGTTTACTTTTTTAAACGGTTTACGTTTACTTTTTCGCATTATTTCAAATGCGGAAACGAAATTCGTTGTATTACTTTCAATATTTTTTGATCATCTATAATATTTGTATTTTTTTAAAGAAATTTTATGAAATCTTACCTCTTCATGTCCCAAGCACGCTATCCTTTTCTTGCTTTTATTTTTTTTATGATAACTGTTATATTCTACTTGAGGCCTATTAGTAAAAGTTTGAGATCCTCGTAGCGTGCTTTGGTTACATATATCACTTGGCTGTTTAAAGAAAGCGAAGGTCAAATTAAAGTATGACAGTAATTATTATGATTATCGACTTTTCTTTTACCAATAGGGTAAAGTACTCTTTACCCTATTGGTAAAAGGTAAAAAGGTAACTACTGTTATAGGACAGTTTAGGACCATACAAGTACATTTTTAAATTTGTCATTTTATTCGATTCGGGATAAAATAGGGTTGAGTCTAAACATTATGTTAAGATGTGTACCACAAGTGTGACTCCATTCAAACTCCAGCCGTGCCGTCTCAAATTCAAATTACGAACAAAATATTGATTCCTCAATTCTATTGTTTAAATATTTTGCAGATACCTACTAGGTATAATTATCTGCACATTTTTTACAAATATATAAGAACAAATAACATACGTCAGTCGTTAACATGTCTGTAATATAATAGGCAAGTCGCATGAGACCGAAGCCATTGCCAAAGACCCAAAATATTATTTCTCCTACAATTTTATATCAACTTTTTCCTCCATTTAGGTAGCCATGCTTTGGTACACGATTGAGCTGGCCCAAACCGTACCATGGCTTCACGGAAAACAAATGGCGTAATCCAGAAGACCCAAAAGTACATTTGTAGCGCCTCTGGAGATCATGCGCGGTGTCGATTGCTTACAATCAAGTGGTCTGTCTATTCTATTGCCACCCCATTCCATAAAACTACTTCTCTCTAAAAAATCTTTTCGAATTCGTATTTCTAGTGAATCATATAATTCATTTTAACCTGTCGAGCAAGATAACGAGCGACTAGAATTTATTTAACAAAATTTATCTTTGATAAAAACATTATCTTTCATAAACTTTAAATAATTCCTAATACCCCAAGCAGTAATGTTAGATAAATGAAATGGAACTGCATATAAATACGCTGTACAAGATACAAGGAATATATAAGGAATAAACGTCTGCCTATAAATGAGCCACTCTATTACTAATGAGCAGTGCTCGTTCTGACGTTCAACTACACTGCATGATGGCAGACTCACAACAGTTACGAGATTGTCTAAACAAAGTCGCCAAAGAACAAAAATATGTGAACCCTGAGATCACAATAGAGGAAATATCAAGCGGAGGAGCAAACTACACATCTAAACTGTTCACTGCAGTCGTGAGTGAAGCAGGCAAGGAGGACCTGCATCTGTTCGCTAAAGTCGCGGTGTTTAGTGAAAGTATGCGTGTCAATTTACCTAATGTATTTCTCCTTGAGCAATACACGTACACGGAACTGCTGAAATGGTACGAAACTATAGAAAGGGAAAGTGGAGTGCCAGAGGAAGACAGACTGATCTTCTGTAAGTTCTATGGGCTTGACGCCACTCTGTACAAGGAGATAATGGTGCTGGAGAACTTGCTGCCGCAGGGCTACGAACCTCACGACAGGTTCCACTCCATAGACTGGCCGTATGCTGCAGCCGCCGTCAGAGATCTTGCTAAAATGCATGCACTGTCCTTCGCGTTTGCTAAAAAACATCCTGAAGAGTTTGAGAAAGCTATGAAAAATATAACCGTGGACTGGCCCGCGGAAATTATGGATACGATGATCCGCCAATCTGTCTCTACTGCAGTGAAAGTGGTCAACCCCGAGCACAAGGAAGCATTTGTCAAGTTTATGGATGAAGCTTTAAAGACACCATATTTTGATATATTAAAACCCGTCAACTCCAAAGTGGCCATCATCCATAAGGACTACAGGGGGAATAACTTGCTGCACAGACGTCGAGATGTAAGTGTTTGTTCCGATGACTGTTTATTTGTGGATATACTTTCTTAGGTATGTTTGTCTGAGGGAACGAACCTCCTCACACCCCTCGCGGGAGGCACTCCGGACGTTGGAGATTACGCGAGCATCTCCGGCTACCGTAAATGCGGGTCTGCGGACGGCGAGTAAGGGTAGCTCGCCGCCCGACCAGAACCAGACCCCTGCGTACGACGCGTCGCGTTCCGTGCGACGAAACGCCACGCGCCTCAAAGAGTCATCAAACAGTGGTCTGACAAATGGTATTGTAGTGACAAATGGGGCCTGTCATGAACAGTACTGATGCCCGAACGGAGCCGCGGAAGACCGAATTGCCGGGGCTCTGGCTCGAATAGCAGGGATAGGAACTGGGTGGTTTTTAATTAATAGGAGTCTGACATTGCCTCTCGCCTCACCCAATGCGGGAGAAGACATTAGATGATGTTCACCCCTCAGAAAAGAAATTATGTTTGTCTGGTGTAATTAATCTTGATTTATGTCAATTCAATTCCTGTTCAATTCAACAAGTTTATTAATTGTATTTGTTAGAAAACAATGAGATGGTTACAATGCTAAATAATACTAGTTAAAAGAATGTAATCAACTAGAAAGGAAAGAGAATAATGTCCATGAAATCTGATGCAATAAATAACGGACAATCTCGGTTCGGAACAGGATGGGCGCGCGATCTAAAACAATGAAACGGTTAATCGAGAATTCCCTTAAACTGTCAAACACCACGAGTACACCGGTGACCGCAACCTATTCTTCTTTAATTGTGTCTATAATGACGGTACTCGACGAGTTAATTTCACTCGTTCCCATTATTTCAAATGCGAAAACAAAATTCGTTGTATATTTGTATTTTTTTCAGAAATATTATGAAATCTTACCTCTTCATGTCCCAAGCACGCTATCCTTTTATTGCTTTAATTTTTTTTATAATAACTGCTATATTCTACTTGAGGCCTATTAGTAAAAGTTTGAGATCCTCGTAGCGTGCATTGGTTACATATATCATTTAGCTGTTTAAAGAAGTCGAAGGTCAAATTACAGTATGAAAGTAATTATTATGATTATCGACTTTTCTTTTACCGATAGGGTAAAGATAGTAGGGGGAGCCCACGATGCTAAATTGGGATTTACTTGAGCGTCCTTGGGACCTACTGGATTTTGAAGATATGCTAATAGAAAGAAGAAATGGTTTAGTGACAATTTCTTCCACCAGTGGGGGAAGGGGGAATCTACAGATCTTTGAAATTGTTAAGCGTAACTTTTGCTCTAATGGTCGAGCGTGTCAGATATTGATAATGTACATGCTCCATGTGTATTTAATAATAAAAAACTCTTAATCTGCCGGTTTGCATGGTGGGGTTGAATGTTCTGGAGAGTACAAACGAGAACCCTTCAAAATCCCCCCACTCTTGCAAATCAAGTTGGAATGGGCAGATTTTTTAAACGCACTTCCTTTAGCACGGTATTGACCTACCTTCCCTTAATCTGACGAAACTGACTTTATTTAGTCAGACTTTTTTTTTAATTTTCAGTCCCCCCCTTCTGATCAGATCGGATATATGTTGGGTATATTCAACATGACACTAGGTTTTCCCCATATGTTAATCTGACGCGCTCGAGTAACTACCGAAATCCCTTCATGGGCTCCCCTACTAAGAGTAGTTATAGCACTGTTTAGGATTATTCAATAACATTTTTAAATTTGACATTTTATTCGATTCGGGATAAAATAGGGTTGAGTCTAAACATTATGTTAAGATGTGTACCACAAGCGTGACTCCATTCAAACTCCAGCCGTGCCGTCTCAAAAATGTCTGTGAATTAAATTACGAACAAAATATTGATTCCTCCATTCTATTGTTTAAATATTTTGCAGATACCTACTAGGTATAATTATCTGCATATTTATTACAAACTACAAAAGAAAAAGTAACATACGTCAGTCGTTAACATGTCTGTAATATAATAGACAAGTCGCATAAGACCGAAGCCATTGCCAAAGACCCAAAATATTATTTCTCCTACAATTTTATATCAACTTTTTCTATATAGGTAGCCATGCTTTGGTACACGATTGAGCTGGCCCAAACCGTACCATGGCATCACGGAAAAGAAATGGCGTAATCCAGAAGACCCAAAAGTACATTTGTAGCGCCTCTGGAGATCATGCGCGGTGTCGATTGCTTACAATCAAGTGGTCTGTCTATTCTATTGCCACCCCATTCCATAAAACTACTTCTCTCTAAAAAATCTTTTCGAATTCGTATTTCTAGTGAATCATATAATTCATTTTAACCTGTCGAGCAAGATAACGAGCGACTAGAATTTATTTAACAAAATTTATCTTTGATAAAAACATTATCTTTCATAAACTTTAAATAATTCCTAATACCCCAAGCAGTAATGTCAGATAAATGAAATGGAACTGCATATAAATACGCTGTACAAGATACAGTTGGTAGACTACACTTCAACGGCTGACAATGGCAGACGTCGAACTATTCCTACGAGAATATCTTAATAAAATTGCTAGGGAACATAAACATGTGGACCCTAAGATCATTATAAAAGAAATATCAAGCGGAGGAGGAAACTACACATCTAAACTGTTTACTGCGGTCGTGAGTGAAGCAGGCAAGGAGGACCTGCACCTGTTCGCTAAAGTCGCGGTAACTGGTGAAAATATGCGCAAGGAGTTCCCTGAAATTTATGAAACAGAGAACTATGCCTATACGGAACTGATAAAATTTTACGAAACCCTGGAAAAGGAAAGTGGAGTACCAGAGGAAGACAAACTAATCTTCTGTAAGTTCTACGGGTTCGATCCCAGCCCATACAGGGAGATACTTGTGCTGGAGAACTTGCTACCGCAGGGCTACGGACCCCACGATAGGTTCCACTCCATAGATTGGCCGTATGCTGCTACTGCCGTGAGAGAACTTGCTAAAATGCATGCATTGTCTTTTGCGTTCGCTAAGAGACACCCTGAAGAGTTTGAAAAAACCTTCTCATCTTTAAAAGGGATATGGGAGGGGCTGCCTTATGAACACGTGGAACCCCACAGAATAGAGTGTGCAGCCAGGGTCCTTAATCCCAAACACCTGGACAAGTTTATTAATTGCATGAAGAGACGCCAGTTTCCCATATTGAATCTATGGCGACACACTGATTTCAAAGTAATCATACACGGAGACTACAGAGGGAATAACTTGCTGCACAAAGTGCGGGAGGTAAGCAACACATGCTTTAGTAACCTAAACTGTTATGTTAACGTATTAACATACGTTTTGGTAGTATTAGCTAAACTTATTGCAGGCTTGGGGCATATAATAGCCTCAATTTTATTACTTAGCTCTATAGCCATTAACCTATATATACATATATGACTCGTTATGGAGCAATACCTTTATTTATTTATGTGTATCACCAACGTTAATACAGTCAAACTTTACGTTCAACATGTGAATACGATTTTATTGACACACTCAACGTCATAACATTTTCTACATCTTGTATATATTGCTCGATTATAATCGACATTTTATTATTATGATTTCACATACACAACTACTACGTCGTGTAATTAGATATTAACTTTTCTATTGTACACTACAATATCAGCTGTATGTTTATGAACTGCCTTATCTTAATACTGATGGAGATGAACTAAGATTGATCACTTTTACCGTAGTTATGGACTAACTTCACGTAATCACGTTCATTATTATTCTTTAAAACGAAAAAAGTCAACGATAGCGAGCGAAGGGCATTTAAAAAATCATAGATTTTTGATAAATGTAAAATAATTGCTAATACTCCACGGAGTATCGTTAAATAAAAGGAAATGAAATGAATATAAATATGCTGTAAGATGTAGTGTGCAGACTGCGCTTCGACAACCGACCATGGCAGATGCAGAACTGTCCCTGCGAAAATATCTAAACAAAATCGCTAGGGAACATAAATATGTGAACCCTGAGATCACAATAGAGGAAATATCAAGTGGAGGAGCAAACTACACATCTAAACTATTCACTGCAGTCGTGAGTGAAGCAGGCAAGGAGGACCTGCATCTGTTCGCTAAAGTCGCAGCCACTAGTGAAAATTTACGCAAAGATATGCCTGACCTCTATAAAACAGAGAAGTATGCTTATACCAAACTATTAAAATTGTATGAGACCCTGGAAAGGGAAAATGGAGTACCGGAGAAAGACAGATTAATCTTCTGCGAGTTCTACGGGTTCGATCCCAGCCCATACAGGGAGATACTAGTGCTGGAGAACTTGCTGCCGCAGGGCTATGGACCACACGACAGGTTCCACTCCATAGACTGGCCGTATGCTTCTGCCGCAGTCAGAGACCTTGCTAAGATGCATGCACTATCCTTCGCATTTGCTAAGAAACATCCTGAAGAGTTTGAGGCAGCATTTTCTTCTTTAAAAGGGATTTGGGAGTCGCTACCTTTTGACAAATTGGAACCAAAGAATATAGAGTGTGCAATCGAGGTCCTCAATTCCAAAAATCGGGACAAATTTATTAATTACATGAAGCGCCGTGAGGTTTCAGTATTGAACTTGTGGAAGCGCACTGCTTTCAAAGTGATCTTGCACGGAGATTACAGAGGGAGTAACATGCTGAACCGAGTGCGGGAGGTAAGATTTATCGAGTCAGCCACCATAGCCTGCCATAGTGCACTAGAGGTAGACCTTAGTCTTAACACTTCATTCTAACTTCCTATGGCAACTTCCAATTAAAAGAAACATGTGTACCCTGTTATAAGCTCGATTTCCTTAATAGTAGGCAATCTATTCAGAATTGCTGTGAATGTTCTAACTTTCCTTTTATTTCTATCTTGAGATATAATAGGCTAAATTTTTGAACAAGGTTAGATTTGTGATAGTTTAGTCTTTAATTTTTTATGTGTATCACCAGCGGGACGCAGTTAATCTTTACGTTCATCATGTGTATGCGAATTAATCTACACATATATGTGCTCAAGGTCATAAGATTTTCTAACACTCGAAAATATTAGTTGATTATTTATCAACATACGATTTCAGATACTCAACACCAATATTGTGTATACACTGAGTTGCATTTGGTTTCTACGTAGTCAAATCAGTGAAGATGTTCAGCTTAAATTATTTTGTTGCTCTAGTAGTCACCAGCATGGCTACAATCGATACGTTTTTAACTTTCTGATATTCGGTAACAGGACACTGCTATACTGTGTAGTATTAACCAAAAATGTCTAACCCATTTACGATAGAACTAATGATACAGCTACCAAAACTGAACGCAATTTGTACAAGTTGAACTAAGATTCAAAAATATTCGGTTTGTACAAATTGTTTGAATTCTAAGCCCCCTTCATAACGTATCACAATAAGTGTCGTAACGCACAAGTTGTATTGTAACTTGTTGTATTGTAACTTGTTGTATTGTAACTTGTTGTATTGTAACTTGTTGTATTTTTTAACATACATCTAGTAAATAAGTGGTTATCTAAAGACTACGGAATGAGCTGTAAATATTATCTTGTATAATGTACATTTGTTGTGCTTCCCACGTCGTGTTGTTTACAGCAGAAAATTAATTATCTTGCTTATCATATGTAATATAATGATAACCGTAGGAGCCACGTGCCATAATTACTTCATTACTAAGCAATGTAACTAACGGGCTTCATGCGTATAATTAATTTGGCCCTTCTTAAAATCGTCAATCTGGTCGATATATGTCTGCCTACGCGACCTTATCTCTGCTAAATACGACGAAGTTAGTTTGGTTTACATATGGCCCTTGTTAGTTTAAAATAGACGGTGAATATAAAGAACATTGATACATATATATCTAGACGGTAGGAATGAATCAACCAAGCACCAACTAGGTGGTTGATGTACAGCTTGCCAATTGCACATTATAATTACATTTCCATATACAGATGATTGACAATATCCGTCAATAAAAATATTATTTATGTGATTATAAAAACCTACTAATTAATAAATTAATTATTTATCGAATTCGAAGGACAGACGCCTGCACATTCAGTTTCCCTAATTAATTTAATAGATTTCTAACTTTATTGGAAGGTGATAAGATTGAAACTCTATTAAGCAGTGTTGGCAATGGTCACCATCTTACTAAAACGAAACGTTGAACTTTTTTAATTATGTCATGACACCATACAAACAAACATATAATTTTAATTACTTAGAATGTACAGGTACATTTCACGTCCAGTTATCGGTAACAGTACTTGCTATAAACTAGTCTATGCCTATAAGTAGAAAAAATATACTTATACGTACATGTTCACAAAAATAATAATTCATGATAGAATCGTCTAAAAAAAGATACTTAAAAAACCATTTAATATTATGACGATGATAATGAACTATGGCTGGCAATAGGCTCACCCCCTATTACATGGGACTCATAACATAAATAGTGAAAAGTGGGTGTTACATTGTACAGTGGCATAATGTGCACCTCTGCCTACCTCTTCGGGGATAAAAGGCGTGTTGTTATGTTATGTATGATAATGAACTAAATACATCTTTTATTTTATTCTACGTTATTTTTTATTAGCTACTGTTGTGTTTAAAATAAGGTTGATAAATTCAAGGACTTTATTTGATAATATAAAAGTTATCAAAATATAATCATTCTAATATCTTTCATTATTGCTATTTATTGTTTATTTACGCACAATTATACTAAAACCTGCTGACTAACAATGGCTTATTTACCAAATAATGTATTATTATATCAGAACATTACCAACAATAACAATCAACATGTTTTTACGGCACAGTTTTATTTAACCACACAATTATTCATTTTATCTATGTACCAAGACTTTATGGTCGAGGCAGAGACAATTCGTCTTTGGTTTTAATAGTTTTCGGCTCCGTATTGTGCACAAATGTGGGTACACCATAACAATTGTTATTCTCACTTCGTGTCTCGTCCAATAATAGTGACATTTTCGTTTATCATTCGTAGTACCCACATATCTTAGATTATATCATATATTTAAACCAAATCCCTCGATATCGTATCATAGCAAGTCAGTAAGAGCCGTACCTCGAACCATGGCGACCAAAGAAGAATCATTATTATATCTACTGGAGGAAATTGCCGCAGAACAGAATTATGAGAACCCTAATATTTTGGTAAAAGCAGTATGTAGTGGAGGAGCCAATTATACTTCGAAGATATACAAGGCAGTAGTGAAAGCAGCAAACAAAGAGGATTTATATCTGTTCGCCAAGTGTGCTATGCTCGGAATAGTATTCCGAAGTAAAGTGCCTATTCTAATTTATGATACAGAACAATATGCGTATGATACCCTGGTGAAACTTTATGACAATATACAGGACCAGTGCGAACTTCCCGCGGAACAAAGAATATCGTTCTGCAGGTGCTATGGCTTCCGTCCGGACAGGTACGAGGAAATTCTGGTGCTGGAAGATCTCGAGGTGAGAGGTTACGGCTCTTACGACAGATTCAAGTCCCTAGACTGGCAGTACTCCTCCGCGGCTATCACAGAACTAGCTAAACTTCATGCCTTGTCGTTCGCACTGAAGCAGTACTTCCCGAGGGAATTCGATGAAGCTCTGTATAAAATAAAAGTGGTGTATGAAGAAAATTCGGATATCATCATGGACAAACCCATCGAGTCTGCGTTACGGACAGTTAGATCTGAATACAAAGAAACGTTAGCAGTATTTTTGGAGAAACATAGAAAGGACATGTATTTGTCTGCTCTCCGCTCTGTCCGAAGTACGGTTATCGTCCATGGTGACTTCAGACCAAATAACTTAATGCATAAAATGCGCGAGGTGAGTTTTTAAATTCTATTAAATTGTACACGCAAGCGGGTACCCTACACAATACAAATATTTTATATTTATCAAATCGCAGCCATTTTGTTTTCTGTGCGTAGGCTTTAAATTATTTTACGCCGTGGTCACATTACAATCACAAGACATGCAATCATAAATTCGATCAACATTGAAAAGTTTCCCAATCATATAAGTATACCTTTATCAAGAATCTAGATAAAGCGGGTTTCATAATGTCTAGACATATATCTCAATGAGATAGTTTTTGATATCCTTTGAGGTTAACTTATCCCAGTAATATTAAGTACAACCACAGTTGACATCTTAGGCGAGATTTTAGGCCTTTATTAGACAGAGGCACACTATGCAATAATCAGTTACAAACTATAATGTTGCAGATTCCATAAACCCGATTTTAATTAATCCAATAGAGGGGAACCCATTGCCATTTACAGTGTACAATTTCAGACCGAGTTCAATCCCCTGCTTAAATTTTATCATGGAAATGTAACACGAGGCCTCCACTTGAGCAGTCGCATTTGCAACCACTCAATCATCGAGGCAATCGTGTTGAATTAAAAATTATTATCACAATTTTTCAACTACTAATCAGAAGGTAGACTTAAATTTTAAAATAAAATCCGTTAGTTACACACACCATCCGGAGCTGCGGGGCTTCGGCTCGGAGCAGGAGTAAGTACGGGGTGGCTTTTAATCATTACGAGTGACACTATCTCTTATCACACAAAGCGAGAGAAGGTATTCGATGATATGACCCCGAAAACAGCAGTTGATTGTATTATCTACACTTTAAATTTAATTTCCTAAATTTCAGTATCATTACAAATGTAAAAAGTTGAAGGTAAAGCCTGTATTAAGGTTACTTTTAAGACTTAATTATTTAAAGAAATCTCTAGATGGTAACACAAACGGTTATGTATATACCATCATAATATTTCATACCACCCTCCTACTTGTCTATGTTCCCCAATATATTTGATTGGATTTTATTACCTTCATATAACTTCCTGGTACATACGCAACGAATAACTGGTCGGTCCATACAATCTAAATATACATACACCGGAGCACGGATTGGCCAGTTTTTTGTTTCCACCAATTATAATCAACGACATCTCCGCTGACGAAACCGCACGCGCAAATAGAAACGAAAAGATCATAATATAACTACATGTAATATTCAGCGCCAATCCGCAGCAGTATGTTAAACTGCGTCGGCCCGCGAGCACACGTCGCGACATTGTGAGCCTATTCTCACATAGTTACTGAACGAGATTAACGTATATTTTATAATCTGAAGAAAATGGAGCACATCACACAATCTTTCACGGATTTGCTTCACAAAATAGCTAAGGAACAGAAGTTTGTCGACTACAATCTAGACATCAAGGAAATATCGAGTGGAGGAGCGAACTATACGTCCAAGTTGTTTGCAGTGAGCATTATTGAAGGTTCTAATACACTGCGGCTGTTCTGCAAAGTCGCAGCCATCGGTGAAAAGATGCGAGCTCAGATGGCAAAAATTTACGAAACAGAACATTACTTTTACACTAATCTCGGGAAAATTATCCGAAATATAGAAGACCAGTGTGAAGTGCCAAATGAGCATAAAGTAAACATCAGCAAGTACTACGGAAGTAACACAAAGCTAAACGAAGAAGTGATGGTGCTGGAGGACCTCACGGCAGCCGGGTACGAGGCTTACGACAGGTTCAAGTCGATAGACTGGCCGTACGCGCAGGCAGCGACCCGGGAACTGGCCAAGTTGCACGCATCTTCCTTCGCTTACGCTAAACATGATCCAGAAGGATTTAGTGTGGTCATGGAAAAATTGATGTTTGATTTCAAGATGGAAGACGCTGATATGAAAGTTTATATGGAGAACATGGTGAAAAAGGCTATCTCGACACTTCAAAATGAGAACAAAACAAAAGTACAGAACTATTTCGATAGTTTAGACGTGAAAGAATTTTCTGCATCATTCAAAAGGAGCCGGCGACTGACCGTGGGCCACGGGGACTTCCGCCCGAGCAACTTAATGCACAAGAGTCTTGACGTGAGTTGTTTAGTTTTTATTTAGGACGTGTGAGTAACGTGTTGTTTAAACGCAGCTTCTACTATAATCCAGAGTCTTTATCCATAAAATGACAAAAACGTGTCCAACATTTTTTTTTATCTACCCGGTGGACATAAAGAAGGAAACCCTTCGTTTTTCATAGGCCATTAAACATTTTAACAACGACAACTAAGTGTGAATAGTTTAAGCTAAATTACTCGTTATTTAGTTTGACTCTCAGGTCCGTCATCATTGTTATGAGTACAAGGCAACCAAACCAGTTTAGTGTGATTATATTGTGGCGTTGATAAAATGACGTGATTATCGTGTCGGTTGAATGAGGCTGCGTAATAATAATATGCCTGCCATAGTATGTAGATGTATGTATGTAAATGTATATTGTTACACAATGCGCATATCAAATAGTGAAGTCTAAATACAGATTATAATATCAGTTCCTCTTATACATGTTGTTTATTCAAAGCAAACAGACGCATTACGTCACCAGCGTTAAAATAAAGCATGAAATTATTTCCGTACATAGTCTTATTATCATTAGACAAAAAGTGTTGTATTTTGTTGAAACAATTGTTCGAGTTAGTCGTTAAAGTACGAGTAACTCTAAGGTCTTCATGGCAAAAGAGGTCATTTTTATATTGCACTGACCAACCCCTGACAATTGATGGTGGTGATAAATAGACGTCGTGTAGTTTTGGTGATATTTCAGTTAATCTAATATTTATTTTTGTGTCTTTTCAGGACGGTACGGTGGACATTAAGATCGTGGACCTCCAGACGCTGCAGGGCGGCAGTCCAGTCACCGACCTGATCTATTTCATCTTCACTGGTTCCGACGAAAAATTCCGCGCGCAGTACTTCGACAAGTTGCTAGATCACTACTATACAGAGCTCAGCGCCGCCATGAAAAGGCTGCAGCTGAATCCTGATGAAGTGTTCTCTCGAGCAGACTTCGACTATGAAATGAAAGAGGTTCGTCATAAAATCTACCTGACCTACCTATTTTTCCTAAGACCTATTTTTTCAACGCCAGATAAATTTTAACTTTGAATATATTTGATAATTCTTTCGTACTAAAAACTGTCAAATGTCAGTTTTATTCTACACTTTAGAACTAAAAATCGGCCCTAAAGAGAAATATAGAAAGCGGCGTGCTACGCCGCCGTAGCAAACTTCGTAGCTGCTTTCACAAGCGTGCGAAGCTCGTAGCGCCGTGCCGTAGCTGAATCAAAGAATAAAATTTTAAGAAAATGACGAAGAATAATGTTTTTCGTCATATTTTTGAGATGTCCAATAGCGGGTACACTGTTATAAGAAATTAGTACCAAAAAAAATATTTATTACAGAAGCTGCCATTTGGCCTCACTCTGGCTGTGTTCACCCTGCCGGTCATCACGGTAGAGATGGAAAACGCCCCCCAGGTAGACGAGTCTCTCGACATCTCCAAGTTCAACGTGGAGAAGACCAGCGACCTGTACGCAGAGAGGCTGAACGGAGTTGTCAACGACTACGTCAAGTGGGGGATTCTTAAATAAATCATACATTTGGCCAAAATTGTATTGTCACATGCCGTAGGGACCAATTTTCAATAATTTTGTAAGTAAATTACCAAATATACTTTAACAAGAGTTTCTAAATAACATCGTGAATCCCTAGTCATAAGGTTCATTTTAAAATATGGGCCCCTTTGTGTGTGATGTCGGTATTATAAAATGAATTGACCAATTAATGTAATATGTAAATGTTTTAGTGAATTATAAGAATGTGATTGTATTGAATAAAGTAATATAATTATATTTTACATTTTCTGTTTAGTTTAGAATAATGTGTTATTGTTGAATTAAATGTTTTCTGTTATGATAATTTCCAATGCAATGTAATATAAATGTATTTGACTGGGTGTAGGTATTATAAGATGTTCGACCGACATTCGTGCAGATTCTGTTGTGTACGAACTATGCTGGTGTAGTGTTGTCTTGTTGCTTTGTTTTTATTGAAGCGCAACAGAATCTGGCGCGAAATATATATGTATTTAATTTTAATTATTTTGCTGTACAGGGTCTTATAAATAAAATTTGTTTTATTATATTTTCGTTTTATTGACGTGTCTTACTTTACCTTCCAAGTTATGAATGTTGAAAGTAAGCCTTACCTCTAGTGTTAGGCTCCGAAGTATCACAAGACATCTCGGTTTTGTACTCACACAGGTCATGTTGACATGTTTGTAACATATAGTTACATTTCTTTTTTTATATGCAATTTGACATTATTGTTTTAATGTGACATTGTTTTTCATATGTTGTTCTAACTTGACATTTACTTTTTATTTAACAATTTTTAGTGCTAGGACCGTGCGAGACTTTGCCTCACTATTTCTTTTCTAATTACCCTTTTTCTGACAGTTTGAGTATTTGTGCGACCCACGCAAATGTTCTTTAGGTTGGTATTGTTCGTCGAATCAGTCAGCCTCACCTGTTAATTGAGCTGACTGTAAACCGACACATGCGTACTGCCTTCAGAACGGGTCCGCTCAAACTGTTGTGGTTCTTTCCTCAAAAGCCCACTACAGAAAGAACTGGCACGGTTCTCACACATAATCTGTTATACATATTGTCTGGACTTTAAAAGAGACAGACCTCTGAGTTTGTTTCGGCATTTCTTCTCAGAGTAGTCAGTTAGGAAATGTCGACCTCATCGTTCGCTTGATAAAATTGGCGTGTAAAAGTGCTGCCTTGTAGCCTATTTGCAGAAATAAATTCACTTGTTTCACTTGTTTGTACGTTTGTCCTATAGAAGTCGCACTCTTAAAAAACATAGTTATATCTAAACATTTTTTTATTTGGACAAAAAATTAAATCCAAAATTGATACTTTCACAACGTCTTACCTTTTGTAGCACGATACTCCTTAACTTAACGCCAATTTATCCAAGTATTGTAACTAAATACGAAAATAAAGAAGTACTAACGTTTACATTACCTAACTGACGGACTAATTGCGTTTTTTTTTTCAAATTTTTACATGTCATCATAATGACGAATCATAATAAAAAAATACATACCTAAGGCATACCTTATGTATTTTTTTAATCAACATGCCAAACTATTATAAGCCCCAGCAGTACGAATGTAGAACTAAACAGCAACCTTTGACTCCAAGAATATTTGCTGACAAAGTCGCAATAAATGCTCCTCAGCTGACGAAGCAGCCGCGACAGCATGCGACATAAATATAGATAACACAAATATATTTAATAGACAACATTACTCCACACGGACCATTACGCTGAACTGTGTCAACCTGTGAGCACACGCCTCAACAAATTATTATACACTACGTAATCAGTTTAATTACACGTTGAGTGAAGAATTTGTGAGATAAACAATAATTCTTACTTATTTTTCAAAATGGAAAATGTACACCAATCGTTCAAAGATTTGCTTCACAAAATAGCCAAGGAACAGAAGTTTGTCGACTACAATCTAGACGTCAAGGAAATATCGAGTGGAGGAGCAAACTATACATCCAAGTTGTTTGCTGTGAGTATTACAGAGGGGTCTAACACACTTCGTTTATTCTGCAAAGTCGCAGCCATCGGTGAGAAGATGCGAGCTCAACTGGACAAAATATACACAACAGAACACTTTTTCTACACAAAACTTGGAAAAATGTACCGAAACATTGAAGACCAGTGTGGAATACCTGACGACCTTAAGTTAAATGTCAGCAAGTACTTTGGAAGTATTACTGAGCTGAACGAAGAAGCGATGGTGCTGGAGGACCTCGTAGCAGCTGGGTACGAGGCCTACGACCGGTTCAAGTCGATTGACTGGCCGTACGCGCAGGCAGCGACCCGGGAACTGGCCAAGTTCCACGCATGCGCCTGGGCATACGGTAAACAGGATCCCGAAGGGTTTGAGAAAACTCTGCAAAAACTGTCGTTTGATATCAATATGGAAGAACCTGAAATGAAGGTTTATATGACAAACGTGGTTGATAAAGCAATTAAAATAGTTCGAGACGAAAACAATGAAATGTTCAAGAAATATTTCGAAGATTTTGACCCAGACGCATATACTGCGACTAATAAAAGGAGCCGACGGCTGGTGATGAACCACGGAGACTTCAGGCCCAGTAACTTGATGCACAAGTACCTTGATGTAAGTTATTTCATGTCTAAATTGTTGCTAACGTTAAACAAAGCGACCCCTCTTGTGTCTCGTATCGTATATGTAGATGCAATGGCTTTCTCGTTCACTTCAAGTTTCAATTGTTAGTATTATTATTCCCTAATATTGTTAACCTCCATGCATACTAGGCGCAGATAATATCACTTTGCTAATTCAACAATTAGCCTCTAATAACAATTAAAGAGTCGAACACGAGATGACGTCGTGTATTAAGGATGCTGCGAAATTTTTAAAAATCCTTACTAATATTATAAATCGGAAAGTGAGTTTGTTTGTTTATTTATTTGTTTGTTCCGCTTTCACGCCGTAACTATTTAACCGATTGCTTTGAATTTTTGCAGACGTAAAATTAGAAGTCAGGATTAAATAATAGATAGGGTACGTTTTTTCCCGGAAAAATTGATATTCCGAGGAAAATCAAAAGGATTGGTATAGATGGCGCTGCGTGTATTGGTATATTTGTCTCATAGGCTACTTTTTATCCTTTTGTGACGCGAGCGAAGCCGCGAATATAAGCTAGTTACATTAATACATTAAGAAGACTTATATTTAAGATTGACAATAACCTGATACAGTCAAACTTTGTTTGGTCTTATTTAATTAATGTCGTAATATAAAATAACATCACGCTTTTTTATTCCCGAAGGGGTAGGTAGAGGTGCCCATTATGGCACTTATTGCCACTATACAATATAACACCCACTTTTCACTATTTATGTTATGAGTCCCATGTAAGGGGAGTGAACCTATTGCCTATTGCCATATACCGAACCTAATTCCAGACTCCGTGCTACTACTGAGATTTTTTTAAATAAAGCGCAGTACTTTTTTTTTAAAACAATGTTTTTTTGTCGGATGTTCTGAAGCTTCTGAAAATGATTTTTATTTCGAGGTTTTCGATTACGACTTCGCGAATTTAGATTCTTTTAGGTGGCACAGTGATACAGTAGGAATGTCACAACAAACAGTATCCAATGAAGGTAAACTGAAACGTAAACTGAATAATAGGAAAAGAACTGCGTTTAAAAAAACCGACTTCAAAAACAAAAACAAACAAAAAGTAAAAACGAAAAAGCAAAAAATAATTATTATTGGTCATACGTACTTATAGCTTACACACTCACTGATGGGTTTTTTTTAAACGCAGTTTTTTCATTTTTATTTTATACTTTTTAGTTTAGTACTAGAATATATTATATTATGTACAATTCACATCGGTGCAAAGTTTTCATCAATACATATTATTCAAGCCCAAACACAATGTAGCTACTGTTAACCGTTGAGGAGTTCCCTCGACCGCCTATCGGCTCCATCATCAGATCAGCTCCAGACCTTTAGCAGATTGTGCAGAATGCGTAAAGGGACTACAGTCCCTTTGCGCATTCTACGGGTTTTAAAAAAAGGGACTGGCGCAAAAAGGGACTAGAGTCCCTTTTTAGAATGCGCAAAGGGACTGTAGTCCCTTTTGTGCCATCGACCGGTTAACGAAAAAATTAACAAATGCACTAGTCGCCCCTATAATTTTTAAAAGTTCTCCTCGGTTTCCCTGGGATTCCATCATCAGATTCTGACTTCATGACAATGAGACCAAATGACAAACCTACCCTCTCAAATAAAAAAAGAATTTTTGAAATCGGTCTAGGAGTCTTCGAGTAATCGAGTAACAAACTTAAAAAAAAATACAGTCGAATTGAGAACCTCCTCCTTTTTTTCGAAGTCGGTTGAAAACAAATATCAATTTCGTTTCGGAGCCTATCTGAGCAAATATACTTAATAATATTAGTACAGATAGATAAACTAAGCTATTTAGTTATTTCGATTTCAACAATATCTATTGTCAAACGGACAAACTTACTTTCCATAATCTCAGTAATTAAATACTTCGGTTATATTGTGGCGTTGATAAAGCGATGTAGCAATACTATGGCGGCACTATGCTTTACACAACGGGTAATGTATGTTTTTCATTCATACAAATATACGTTCGGGCCAAATGTACGTTTTAAAATAATCATAGTACATAACATAACATAACATCAAGCCTTGTATCCCCGAAGGGGTAGGCAGAGGTGCACATTATGCCACTTTACAATGTAACACCCACTTTTCACTATTTATGTTAGGAGTCCCATGTAATAGGGGGTGAGCCTATTGCCATATACCGGGCACAATTCCAGACTTTGTGCTACTACTGAGATTTTTTTTAAAAACCCAGTAATACTTTGTCCGACCCGGGAATCGATAATAATGGTAGTACTTCTATTTAAACCGGTCAGGCTAGTGAGAAAAACTTTAGACAAATCATTCCTAGTTATTTTAAAAACAAATCATTCGTGGTAGGTATAGAATCAGAATCAGAATATTTATTTGTACAACATAGGTATATACATAACTAGCGACCCGCCCCGGCTTCGCACGGGTGCAATATGTATATACATACAAACCTTCCTTAAGAATCACTCTATCTATTAAAAAAACCGCATCAAAATCCGTTGCGTAGTTTTAAAGATCTAAGCATACATACGGACATACAGCGAAAACGACTTTGTTTTATACTATGTATTGATGGTGTTACAAAAAATAAATAAATATTGTTCGCTATGTTTTGCCGTGAGGCGTACAAATATTAAATTGCTTATGTAATGAAGAGTTATGAATAAAAAGGCCGTATTGCACGAATATTACTATATTTAAATAATGGAAATAAGAATCAACGGTGAAGCCGGTACAAGTATTGAGTGGACATCTTATCTAAAGAAAATTTTACATATTATGCGCCAGATGGCAACCTCACGCACTTCGTTCTATACCAACACCTCCCCTCGAAGTCGTGAGTAAATTTAATCTCCAGCCTTTACATACATTTATCCATCATACCTAAATTACGTAGACATTCA